TGAATGGTCTAACCTCCCGGCCACGTGCACATGTGGTGTGTATAAGTAATAAAAAGACACTAAAAGTCTTCAAGTTCAGCCAACTTCATGATTGTTCTCGGAAAGTAGGAAGACCCCTGTTGACGTAAAAGGATAAACTTAAGCAAAACTTAAATTCTATTGACATCCCTCTGTTGTCGTTTGAGGAAGTGGCTTCTAATCGTGTCAAGTGGAGGTGTGTGTGTACGTGCACACATAAAAGGCATAACTATTGTGAGGGTACTGTTCCTTGTCCAATATGAGGAATGTGGGTCTCAAATTTGGTCTTAAGTCATTGAACAGGCCTACAATGGTGGAATGTGTTGTTGAATCCTCATACATTGAAAATAATAGGATAGTCCCTTATAGAATAAAATAAATTTTATTCTATAGGTTTCAAAAACAATGACTGTCCTGATTTTTTGACCCTCTCTAATCTTCTTCCAAGACAGATTAACAAACTTTGCTAAAAAAAAAGTTTCTTTTAAGAATTAAAGATGAACCATATTTAATGGTTATTAATGAAAGGATGAAAGAAGAGGAAGCTGTATAGGATTCTCTTAGTTTTATTTTAGTGACATGCTTTTCATGATTTGGTAACTATTAATGAATATTCTGCTATAAATGAAATTTACAATAGTTTTTAAGCCATCATTGATATACAAGACATTTTTATTCAATATGAATATTTTGCTATAAATGAAATCTACAATAATTTTTCCCCCTCAGAATTATCTTTTATATATTTCTTTTTACCTCCAAATTATAGCTTTCTCAAATTTTAGAAAATCGGGTCAAGCATTAACCATGATATATCTCTGGATTTGTATTCTGGAATTATATTTATCAGTTTTGGTACCTTTCAAAAGCAACCCCTTAATATAATATGTGCCTGTAAGAATAATCTAGAAGACAAAATATCTAATATTAATCTGTTTTTAAAGTGTCAAATAGAAAACAGACATTTTTGATGTGATCACAACTTTGCTGTACTGGTCATGTTGTGTGTATGAGTAATGAAAGCAAAATGGAAAAATTCTCATGTACAGCCAACTTCATGATTGTTCTCGGAAAGTAGGAAGACCCCTGTTGACGTAAAAGGATAAACTTAAGCAAAACTTAAATTCTATTGACATCCCTCTGTTGTCGTTTGAGGAAGTGGCTGAACATCATTCTAACATTACCGCGGTCTTCATAAAGAGTGCTTTTCCTTGTCCTGAATGGTTAATGTGGTGTGGATCTCAGGATGACATTAAAAAGTTATCGAGGGCGCGAATACAAGTAGGGCCTCATACCTTGAAAACGACGAACATGTCCATCACAGACACGCACACACAGACATAAAATGTAAAAATCAAGAAATGCTGGAGCAAACTTTCAGATGGCGAATAAGGAGAAAGAAAAAATATTCGCAAGATAAGTTCTTTTTATTCTGATGTATCTCATTTGGTCACAGTATGAATTGACCTCGCCTTTATCGCTCCAAATAGACATTTAAAAGAAAAAAAACCCTATAAGTACGAAAAGTTGGATTTAAAAAACAATTAAACTATTTCTTATTCTCCAGTGACTGCTACATTAATTCCGACTGAATTTTTATCCACTGAGTTTGTCAAAAAAGTTTTACTTTATCACAAATGTTATTTTCTTTAGTGACGTACAATGTTAGATATGCGTTATAGCAGGCAGCTAATGGCCGACATTAATGCAACATTATTGACATTTTTATCAAAGTTTATAGAAGATAAAAACCGGTCGGTTTCAAATAACTGTCTCTACATTAATAATGTTTCATTACTACAAATCTATAAATATATATGATTCATATTTTTATTATTCTTCTATGTGTTTTATCCCTTCAGGTCGTCGTTCTTTTTAGACCTCTTCTTTTTAGACCTCTTCTTTTTAGAACTTAGCAATATTTGTCTTTTTGGTATTTCTCCCAATTCTTGTTTTGCTAACCATGTCCTATCTTTAGGTAGGATATTCGATGCTTTGTCTCACTTGTATCCAATATGACTTGTGAGTATTGTTATATAGGAATAAAGTGTCGCTGCGGACACTTGAGTTTGAACATAGATCACCAGTGAGCAAACACAGGTGATTCCATTATTGAATTAAGTGGACCACGTGACCATAGGGAAACCGCATATAATTGATCTGCATTTCTACTTTATCCTCTATCACTATTCGTATCGCTATTTCTCCTCTATCCTCTATTACTATACGGACCGCTATTCTCTATACTATTTCACTATACGGATTACTATTCGAGCGAGTATTATCGAGCAAGTACTATTAGTGTGAGTGTTACTCAAAGGCATCTGGCACCAGTATTGTTCAACGGCGTTACTATAGTTGTATCTGCAATTACAAAGTCTTTACTACAACGAGCATTACGAAAGTGGCAACGAATGTTCGTTGACATCACAAAAAGTATTAAATTTTCCAAGTACTTTTTCCTCATGATGGCTTTCAGAAGTTTTGTTTCTTTGGTATTCTAAGTAAAGATTTCAATTTTGTTTCCATTTTCTCTAAAACTTCGTCGTTGCTCACATGTTCAGTCTAACATATTCTCAGCATTCTTCTGTAGAAACGTATTTTTTGCGTCGAAAAACTTCTTTATCTATGAATGTCCATCTTCATCACTGCCATAGACTAGGATTGGTATTACATAACAGTTAAATACTCTTTTCTTTGTTTATAATGAGACTTTCATGGTTTTAATACTTTACTTAATATTTGGAAGGCATCTTTCGTTATTGAAATGTATCTTCGGATTTCAGTGTCACATTTTCTGTATATTGTTAAAACATTTCCAAGATTTTTATATTTTTGAACTTGATTGATTTTGGTATCTTCGATTCGGAGTTCGTATCTTGGATTGCTGAAGACCAAACATTCTGTCTTCTTACAACTGATATGATTCATATTAGGAAAGATTAATAAACCAACATGGAATATAAAAGCCCCCCCACCAAAAAAAAAAAAAATTAAACTTGAATGAATTTCCATTTATAAACAAAAACCTAGCAGCATTGGATAAATGTTGGCATCTGCATAATTATGAATCGCCTTTTTTCCAATGTAGACAGTTAACAACCACAATCTTCATAGCAAACTGAAGAGAACGAATACCATGAGGTTGGTGGAATTGTTGATGGTAAGAATTCATGTCATCTGATTATTAATCCTAATGTCATCGTAATTAAGGTGTAGATGTCTGCGTATCAGAGAGGCGGCTCATCATAAAAGAGCAGAAAGCGACAGTAAAGAAAAAGTCAATTTCGCTGATGTCTGTATGATTATGGTGTAATAAGAATCAAAAAAAAAAAAAATCTGTCCAAAAAGTCGATAGGTTTGAAAATGAATTCAAGGGTGGAATTCTGATAAATATAATATTTTAGTTGCCAAAGATGGAGATGGCTGTAGGGAAGAAAATAAAAATGGCAATAAAAGGATGATGGTAAGTAAAATGAAGAAAAGGAGACGATATGAAAAATATATATATATATATATATATATATATATATATATATATATATATATATATATTCAAAGTTCAAACACTTGACGCCACACCATAATTTAAAAGTAGTTTTTTTGTACTTTAAATAAGATAAAATTATTATACATGGTTAAAAAGTGAGATATGATTTTTATTAGAAATTTTATTATGACACAAAAAAAAAGCATTTTATGATTATATATATATATATATATATATATATATATATATTGATGCATATTTCGTTAAATAATATAAACAAGTTTTGTCTATTTTAAGTAAATTCCTTTCATATTGTCGAATAAGCTTTTTACTATTATCACTAAAAGACGAAAGAAAATCGTCATGTTGTTCAATGGTTTTACCATCTTTGTTATTTAATTTATTATTTAATTTATTGTAATGTACTTGTAATCTCTGATGATAGCTTATGTAAGCTGAAAGCTTAGACAGGATTAACAATAAAAACATGTATTAGCATGTTGATTTTCTTTTGTGTTTCAGTGATAATACTAAAAAACTTATTCGACAATATGAAAGGAATTTACTTAAAATAAATAAATAAAACTTGTCTGTTATTTAACGAAACATGCATTAATGAAAAAATGCTACCTAAATACACACACACATATATATATATATATATTGCATTTTTATTAAAGATGGAATCAAGAATTTAGACCTACGTTGGAGAACAGTCATTCAGCAACATGGTGTCTATTTTAACTAAATAAATTAGTTACTTAATATTTCAGAAACGTTTTATTTATTTCCTATAAAGTGCGTCATTTCATGTGTGACAACCTAATACCCATAAATATAGTCAAAATAAAAATAAAAATATTCAAACAAATCGACGGATATCAGTGAGATCGGTTGTTCGACTAACAAACAATTTTCTTGGACTTGACAGATTCGAGATGGCCTCGTTCGGTTATTCAATGCCCAAAGCTGAAAAATTATAACGACGTAATTTGAAGATTTTATCATACCAAAAAAATCCGTTATAAATATAACTTATTGATTTTTTTCTTGCATTCTGACCCGGCGTCGAAGATCAACATTGGCTCAGAGAAATCAATGAACAAATAATTTAGAACGAATTTCGAATATTCAATAGAAAAAGTGTCCTTCCCATCTAATGATCAATGTATTCACTATATCAGTTTGTTCATACTAAAATTGTCTTTTTCTTTTTTTTGTTAGAGGCATATCAACACATCTATGGGTTATTCAGTGCCGAAATCTAAATATATTTTGTTCCCGAAATTTATTTTATTTCAGAAGTTAATAACAGTTTCGTGATACAAGCCTTATTAATTAACCCATAACCGGGGGGCTGGGGCGGGGAGAAGAGGTGGTTTCATAACTCTCCCCGTGTCAGTGAATATATCGAACCCAACTGGAATTGGAACTCGGCTCTCCGATTAACAATTCCGAGTCATTATCCGTTACACCACCCACACATCCAAGTTTACAGCACCTAGTATTCCCAAGCGGTCACCCATCTAGGTACTGACCAAGCTCTATCGTTGCTTAACTTTGGTGATCGTACGGGAACCGGTGTTCCAAAGTGATGTGGCCGTAAGCCAAAAACGGTATTAACCAATCGATGTTAGTCAAAGGATATATTTAGATTAAAATGGGTGGTCCTGTCAGTTTCAGCGTTTCATTATTGAAAATATTGATAATGACTTGCCCTGTGAGATATCAGGTTTTATTATTGAAGCAAAGAGAAAGGTATTTCCTTTTATTTATAAATACATAAAATATCTATAGCGTATAGAAATACAGGTTGTTTCAAAAAATTTGATATCATTTCGCAATCTAATAACTTTGTTAGATCTCCTTCAAATGACTTCAAATTTTAATAGCATCTTTATGTTTAATGTTTGTTTTATGTTTTTATGTCTTTATGTTTTTGTGTTTTTCTTATTTGTATTTTTATGTTCTTTAATCTTTAATCTTTTTCTTTACAGGTATAAAAATGCCGTGTCTCAGGCGGTGCGCATATTGAACATTTGTGAAATCGTTCACATAATCCACATGCTTTTGAATTTCTCATTCAGATTTGGAAGAATAAATCTTATGATCTTCAACATTAAGACTTTTTAATTTCATTTGCCTTAATCATGTACTTTCTGTGATATTTACATCTCAAAGGATATCAATTTTTTTGAAACACCCTGTACATTCGATTAACACAACGTCGCCTATACCTGAATAAATTATCGTTTCATTATTTTATGTGTTAATATGGGCTACTTGATGTTTTATTACATTTGCCTGTCTGTAAATAATTTGGGGTTCCTGTATAATCACCGACGTTAAGCAACGTCGAGCCTACTCAGAACCTAGATGGGTGACTGCTTGTGAATATCACGTTCTGTAAGCCTGGGTGGCGTAATGGATAATGGCTCGGAATTGTTAACTGGAGAACCGAGTTCCAATTCAAGTTGTGTTCGTTATATTCACTTACGCTAAAATAACACTAATAAAAGAGGGCTTGGAAAATCTGATACTCACAGGGCAGGTTGAAGGCAAGAAAGATACAGGGAATCAACGCATAATATATATTAGACCTTGTGTAAATAGATAGCGGACTAAGGTTTAGGAGAGATGGCAAAAAGACGAAATTTATTAAGAGCTACAAAGGACAGGAAATTCTGGAGAGACATCATTGTCTACGTCTTTAAGGGACACAGCAGATAGAAGAAGAATCTTCTTTTCCAAACTCTCCTTCTTCTTGTCTCTTTTTCTTCTTGTCTCTCTCTCTCCTCTTGTCTCTTTTTCTTCTTGTCTCTCTCTCTTCTTGTCTCTTTTTCTTCTTGTCTCTCTCTCTTCTTGTCTCTTTTTCTTCTTGTCTCTCTCTCTTCTTGTCTCTTTTTTTCTCTTTCTCTTCTTGTCTCTTTTTCTTCTTCTCTCTCTCTTCTTGTCTCTTTTTCTTCTTTCTCTCTCTCTTCTCTTCTTGTCTTCTTTTTTCTTCTTGTCTCTCTTCTCTCTTGTCTCTTTTTCTTCTTGTCTCTCTCTCTTCTTGTCTTTTTTCTCTTTCTTTTTTCTCTCTCTCTTCTTGTCTCTTTTTTCTTCTCTTTCTTCTTGTCTCTTGTCTCTCTCTCCTTCATTTTTTTCTTCTTGTCTCTCTCTCTTCTTGTCTCTTTTTCTTCTTGTCTCTCTCTCTCTTCTTGTCTCTCTCTCTTCTTGTCTCTCTCTTCTTGTCTCTTGTCTCTCTCTCTTCTTGTCTCTTTTTCTTCTTGTCTCTCTCTCTTCTCTCTCTTTTTCTTCTTGTCTCTCTCTCTCTCTCTTCTTGTCTCTCTCTCTTCTTGTCTCTTTTTCTTCTTGTCTCTCTCTCTTCTTGTCTCTCTCTCTTCTTGTCTCTTTCTCTTCTTGTCTCTCTCTCTTCTTGTCTCTCTCTCTTCTTGTCTCTTTTTCTTCTTGTCTCTTCTTGTTTTTCTCTCTTTTTTCTTCTCTCTTTTTCTTCTTGTCTCTCTCTTTTTGTTCTTTTCTTCTTGTCTCTCTTTCTTCTTGTCTTTTCTTTCTCTTTCTTCTTGTCTCTTTTCTTCTTCTCTTCTTCTCTCTTTTCTTCTTGTCTCTCTCTTTTTTCTTGTCTCTTTTCTTCTTGTCTCTCTCTTCTCTCTTTTCTTCTTGTCTCTCTCTCTTCTTGTCTCTTTTTTTCTTTTCTCTCTCTCTCTTCTTGTCTCTTTTTTTCTTGTCTCTCTCTCTTCTTGTCTTTTTTTTCTTCTTGTCTTCTTCTTCTTGTCTTTTTCTTCTTGTCTCTCTCTCTTCTTGTCTCTTTTTCTTCTTGTCTCTCTCTCTCTTCTTGTCTCTTTTTCTTCTTGTCTCTCTCTCTCTTCTTGTCTCTTTTTCTTCTTGTCTCTCTCTCTCTTCTTGTCTCTTTTTCTTCTTGTCTCTCTCTTTTTCTCTCTTTTCTTCTTGTCTCTTTCTCTTCTTGTCTCTTTTTCTTCTTGTCTCTCTCTTCTTGTCTTTTTCTTCTTTCTCTCTCTCTTCTTGTCTTTTTTTTTTTCTTTCTTTCTCTCTCTCTTCTTGTTCTCTCTCTTCTTGTCTCTCTCTCTTCTTGTCTCTTTTTCTTCTTGTTCTCTCTTCTTCTTGTCTCTCTTTCTTCTTGTCTCTCTCTCTTCTTGTCTCTTTTCTTCTTCTTTTCTCTCTCTCTTCTTGTCTCTCTCTTCTCTCTCTTTTCTCTTTCTTCTTGTCTCTCTCTCTTCTTGTCTCTCTTCTTATTCTTGTCTTCTTCTTCTCTCTAATTTCTCTTCTTGTCTCTCTCTCTTCTTGTCTCTTTTCTTCTTGTCTCTTCTTGTCTCTCTTTCTTCTTTCTTCTCTCTTTTTTTTCTTTTTCTTTGTCTCTCTCTCTTCTTGTCTCTTTTTCTTCTTGTCTTCTCTTGTCTCTTTTTCTTCTTGTCTCTCTCTCATCTTGTCTCTTTTTTTTTCTTCTTCTCTCTCTCTCTTTTGTCTCTTTTTTCTTCTTGTCTCTCTCTCTTCTTGTCTCTTTTTTTTCTTGTCTTCTCTTCTTCTTCTTGTCTCTTTTTCTTCTTCTCTCTTCTTCTCTCTTTTTCTTCTTGTCTCTTTCTCTCTTCTTGTCTCTTTTCTTCTTGTCTCTTTCTCTTCTTGTCTCTTTTCTTCTTTCTTCTCTCTTTTCTCTCTTTTTTCTTTGTCTCTCTTTCTTCTTCTTTTTCTTCTCTCTCTCTCTTCTTGTCTCTTTTTCTTCTTGTCTCTCTCTCTCTTCTTGTCTCTCTCTCTTTTCTCTTCTCTCTCTCTCTCTTCTTGTCTCTCTTCTTCTTCTCTTTTTCTTCTTGTTTCTTCTCTCTTCTTGTCTCTTTTCTTCTTTGTCTTCTTCTCTCTTCTTCTTGTCTCTTTCTTTCTTCTTCTCTCTCTCTCTTCTTGTCTCTTTTTTCTCTTCTTCTCTCTCTTTCTTCTTGTCTCTCTCTCTTCTTGTCTCTTTTCTTCTTGTCTCTCTCTCTTCTTGTCTCTTTCTCTTCTTGTCTCTCTCTCTTCTTGTCTCTTTTTCTTCTTGTCTCTCTCTCTCTTCTTGTCTCTCTCTCTTCTTGTCTCTCTCTCTTCTTGTCTCTCTCTCTTCTTGTCTCTTTCTCTTCTTGTCTCTCTCTCTTCTTGTCTCTTTTTCTTCTTGTCTCTATCTCTTCTTGTCTCTTTCTCTTCTTTCTCTCTCTCTCTTTTCTCTTTTTCTCTTTTCTTTTTTCTTTTCTTCTTTCTCTTCTCTCTCTTTCTCTCTCTTTCTCTTTTCTTCTCTCTCTCTCTCTTTCTTTTCTTTCTCTCTTTTCCTTCTTGTCTCTCTCTTCTTGTCTCTTTTTCTTCTTGTCTCTCTTCTTCTTGTCTCTTCTTTCTTCTTGTCTCTCTCTTCTTGTCTCTTTTCTTCTTGTCTCTCTCTTTTTCTTCTCTCTCTCTTTCTCTCTTTCTTGTCTCTCTCTCTCTTCTTGTCTCTTTTCTTCTTGTCTCTCTCTCTTCTTGTCTCTTTTTTCTTGTCTCTTTCTCTATTCTTGTCTCTCTCTTCTTGTCTCTTTTTCTTCTTGTCTCTCTCTCTTCTTTGTCTTTTCTTCTTTCTCTTCTTTTCTCTCTTTTTCTTCTTGTCTCTCTCTCTTCTTGTCTTTTTTTTTTTTCTCTCTCTCTTCTTGTCTCTTTTCTCTCTCTCTTCTTTTCTCTTTTTCTTCTTGTCTCTCTTTCTCTTCTTGTCTCTTTTTCTTGTCTCTCTCTCTCTTCTTGTCTCTTTTCTCTTCTTTCTCTCTCTCTTCTTGTCTCTTCTCTTCTTGTCTCTTTCTCTTTTTGACTCTTTTCTTCTTGTCTCCTTTTCTTCTTGTCTCTCTCTCTCTCTCTCTCTCTCTTCTTGTCTCTTTCTCTTCTTTCTCTCTTTCTTCTTGTCTCTCTTCTCTTGTCTCTTTTTCTTTCTGTCTCTCTCTCTCCCTTCTTTTTCTTTCTGTCTCTCTCTCTTCTTGTCTCTCTCTCTTTCTTTTTTTCTTCTCTCTCTCTCTTTCTTGTCTCTCTTTCTTCTTGTCTCTTTTTTCTTTCTTTTCTCTTCTCTCTCTTTTTTCTTGTCTCTTTCTCTTCTTGTCTTCTTCTTGTCTCTCTTTCTTCTTGTCTCTTTCTCTTCTTTTCTCTCTTTTTTTCTTTCTTCCTTGTCTCTCTCTCTCTTCTTTTCTCTCTCTTTCTCTCTTTTTTTTCTTTCTCTTTCTCTTCTTCTCTCTCTCCTTCTTGTCTCTTTTCTTGTCTCTCTCTCTTCTTGTCGTTTTTTTCTCTTTCTTCTTGTCTCTCTTTCTTCTTGTCTCTTTTTCTTCTTGTCTCTCTCTCTCTCTTTCTTCTCTCTTCTTGTCTCTCTTTCTTCTTGTCTCTTTTTCTCTTGTCTTCTCTCTTTCTCTCTCTCTTTTTCTTCTTGTCTATCTCTTCTTGTCTCTTCTCTTCTTTCTCTCTCTCTTCTTGTCTCTTTCTCTTCTTTTCTCTCTTTCTTCTTCTCTCCCTCTCTTCTCTTCTTCTTTTTTCTTCTTGTCTCTTTCTCTCTCTCTTTTCTTGTCTCTCTCCCCTTCTTGTCTCTCTCCTTCTTGTCTCTCTTCTTCTTGTCTCTTTCTC